TCCTCCTGTTCCTTCCCCTGCCCACACCTGTCCATCTACGTCCAGAACACCCTTCTCTTTGCTGATTAGTAAACTTCTACTTGTCCCTCCAGATTTTATGTAACTCACATCCCTCTATCTGGGAGCCCTAGATAGCACTTTTCCTCTAGACCAGATCTCCTCGTTATCTCTATCCTGCTATTTTCCAGATTAATGGATAATATTCTGGCTGACTCCTCCCCTAGACTGAACTTCTAGCAGTATCGGGAAACATTTCCAGATGACCAAAGAACAGGAAGGTCCTCTGGACTGATCTCAGAATTAAGCAAATTGCTCACGGGCTCTATGTCAGTGGGCCCCTAGAGATTTGTTGCTGGTAGAAAGTGGGTCAGGTATGTGAATTCTTAGATCACTGAGGTGCAGAGTATCAGTTATCACCTTTTTTTTTTTTTTTTTGGAGGAAGTTCTAAGAGAATCATATTATTAGCTTGTGCCTTAAGCATTTTTCTGAAAGGAGGAAGAAAATAAAACCTATACTGTGTCACTGAACAAATAGATATAACCTATGAAGGGCTGATTTACACATGGATAGCACTACTATGAATTTTTCATGAGTTCTGAAATTGTTGCAACTTACTTTTATCTAGAGTTCTAATGGATTTGAAACATAATGGATACTGCAGTAAATGTTATACCAGGAGCCCTGTAGAATCACAGAATATCAGTTATAAGTGACCTTACAGATCAATTATTGGTTCTCAATCATAAGTCCATGATAAAATATTCATTAGTCTACGGAAACCTGAGATTTCAATAAATTACTATCAAATTTCTTTAAAAAGCAAGATGATTCAATTTATACAACTGTTCTTTATTCTTAGATTAAATTTTCCACGTTTTTGTGGTGCTAGAATATTATTTCTTTAATGAAAAGATGATGATTCATAAATGATAGTTTGGGGTTTTTTAAAGAACCTCTGTTCCTCATTATTATCCCAATTAGTTTAATTAAAAAATGTTAATTGACTATAATTCCCTATTTCTTGTAACACTGCATTGCAGTTATGAATACTTTCTAATGACAAAATGAGAAGCTGGCCAACCCCATGTCATTTACTCAGTTTTTTTTCAAAGAAAATTAACTACTCCATAAAATTCGATGTGTTCAATGTCCTTCCTATTTTCAGAAAGGAATGAGAGTCTAGAAAGGTTAAATGTTAAAGCTTTGTACATAGTCCCCTAGTTGGCTGAGGGTCCCTTAGTTAAACACCAGTATCAGGACTTGTAATTCAGAGTTCAGAGAGCTTATAGCCTATTCAAATGCACAGGTGTTCAAGATTATCACAAAGTCTAGAATTTGATCCTAACACCATTTATGGTGCAGAACTGAATTCATGAACATAATTTTAGGCAGCCCATTAGATTGCATGCTAAACCCTGTGGTACTCTGCCACAATTATCTCTTATAATCATGACAAATAATCTTTATACAACATGAATTATGCATTTTTTGCCATTTTCATCTAAGCAAACCTCAAAAAGATAGCAGAACATTTAGAAATAAACACAACTAAAAATGCACTTACTTTATTACCTTCACTTATAAGCTACTTAGTTCACACTCTGCCTTATCAATTACAAAACAACAGCCACCACTACTTTTTCCTTACAGTTCACAGCACATAGTTCCAATGCAATAATTCTGCATCAAGGAAAAGATGGACCAGCTCACTCATAGCTTTCTATGGAGCCATGTAAATGTAAGATGACACTTACCAAGAAAAACACTAACCCAGCCCTGCAGCCAGGAAAACATTCAAAACAATGATGCAAACACCTAGTCTATTTATCTTGATTTCTCATTACTAGTCTAATTAGTTTTGTCTTCACTGATTTAAGGGAGTTCTAATTCCTGCTGCTAACATTGTTTAGAATGCAAACTCACATTCTCACCTTTATTCTCAAAAAATTTGAACTAGCAGTTGTAAATACAATCCCACTGTTTCAAAGAGGCCAAAAATAAAACATAAGCCCTTATCTGAAGTAACACGAGTATCTAAGTAAGCATCTTACTTGGCCCTATTTTTTTTAAATTTTTAAATCTGAAACAATGTTAGACTTACAGAAAGACTGAAAACACCAGCACATCTCTGTAAACCTTTCACCTACCATTTCCTACTGTCAGCATCCTACACAACCACAGTACAATGATCACAACTAAGAAACATTGGATGAAGGATGAGCAGAACATGGACACATATTCAAAACACATATTCAGAATTAACACTAGCACAATAATATATATTTTTAATTATTCATTGGAAGTGTATGAATGTATCAATGTTTTTATTTTTTGGAGATTTTATTTATTTTTATGTAGAAGAGCTGGGGGACAGGCAACGTGAGGGATGGGTGGATGAGAGGATTCACCAGAGACAGAGTGGGGAGCAAAACAGGCAGATCTAACGGGGGGGGGGGAGGGAGGGAAATGCACGGGACTATGGTGGTGGCACAGCGGTGATTTGGTGATGGGAAACCCGCGGGGATTACAATCGAGATGGAAAAAAAAATGTACAAAATGATGTAAAAATAAACTTTGTAATAAATAAAATTTTAAAAAATGCAAAAAAAAAATCTTATCAATAAAAAAAAAAAAACAACAGGCAGATCTACTGAGATACACTGCTGAGGGAGCAGCGGGTGGGTCAGGAGAGGTCTGCTGTACCATGTGGGTCAGCTCCCTAGCCTGGGATCAAACTTGCTGTAGTGGTTGCCAACTTCATAGTGCTGTGACTTAATCCTTGCACCACCAGGCCCTGGAAAAATACTATTGACTAAAGTAGCAACTTTATTAGATCTCATCAGTTTTCCAACTAATGTCCCTCTTCTGGTTCTTGATCCAATCCAAGACCCCACATTGCATTTAGCTGTCATAGCTCCTTGGTCTCCTCTATGGCACTCACCAGCCTCTTTCATGGCTGTGGCACTGTTGAGAATACTGGGCAATTTTGTAGATACTCCCTCCATTGCATTTATGTGATGTTTTCTCCTGAGGAGTATGAAGTCATGCCTTTTCTTCACAGACTACTACATAGATGGTGTGCTCTTTTATGTTGTGTGAGGTGTCATGCATTAGGGAGATGTGTTGTCAATATATCTTACTACAGATGATGTAAACCTTGATTACCTGGCTGAGGCGATGCCCTTGTCTTCTAACTGCCCATTTTCTATCATTCAAAGCTTGTGATTGGTGCAGATGTGACGCCTAGAACAGCAGCACTCTAGCATGGGTGGGAATGAAGGGAAAAGTCTTCCTGACCATCTATCCACCGCTGCCACAGCAGGTGCCATGGAGAACGGGGCTTTCAACAGAGGCCAACAGGAAGGAGCACAAGACACAAGCAAGCTGACAGGAGTTATGAGATGGCCTCTGAGAATTCACTGTCAGACACAAGGAGTCAGGAAGTAACATGAGGGGGACCCTCCCTCCCAGACCACGAGAAGTTGACGCAAAAGTGTTTTGGAGATTTCTTTCTAATTTTCTGCTTTTACTTCCCTTCGTCTTCTGCTTGTTTTTAGTTTTCTTAACTATGCCATCTACACATAACTGATCTCTGATTCTATAAAGTCCTGAAAAGAATATTTCTCTACTGCCTTGGTATAATTACTTTAAATTAATTTCTGTAAGTCGTCACAAGTAACAGCAGTCCCTCCAGCCACTTACTGTCATCCATCTGCCCCTGGAGGCAGACGGGGATCTGAAGGACAAAAACCACTCAGTCCCAGAGATAACACACGAACCAATATTGTTTCTTTTTTAAATTGAGATATAATTCACATTCTAAAAACTCACCCTTTTAAAGTACACAATTCAGTGGAGTTTAATATATTTACTAATAGTCTAAATCATCACTAACTCCAGGATCTTATCACCCCAAAGGAAATCTCTTACCTACCCTACCTCCTGCTAATCTACTTTCAAATTCAAAAATGAATGTGCCCATTTAATTCAAGTTACTTTGCTTGTTTTATTAAATTTATTTATTTTCTTACATTGTTATTTAGTTTTGGACCATACTTGATTTCTCCCCAGAGATGTGGTTCTTTCAGTTCTCCCTCGACTGTGGTGGGAGATCACCATCAATCAGCACCTATGACCCATCGCCACGGTCCCTTGTCTCGGTCCCTCTTGCTCCCTGCACCTGCTGTCTGCCTGCCTCAAATCTACGGCCAGCTTGCAAACCGCGTCTTTTTCTTGACCCTTTGTTCAGTTTCTCTATATTCTACATGTAAACGACAACTTCCCATCACTCTCTCTCTCTCTGACTTATTTCATGTAGTATAATCCCTACTAGTTCCATCCGTGTTGCGCAAATGGCATGCGTTTATCTTTTTTGATTGCTGAGTAGTTGAAACAAGATACTTTTGATCCCAAGTAATAATAATCAAGATGATCTTCATTCAGTTAACTTAGGAGACACGCACACACAAGATTTGACTTTCACACCTCCTCACCTTCTCTTTTGAGGCTCTGCACTCCCTGTTCTGCCCCAACCCCCAAACTGTGTTTCAGATGTGACTTACCTGAATTTGTCTTTTGTTACGGTTAAACTTACCTACCCTTCTCTTGTCTATGAAAACCACATTGTGTTCTGTGTGTGTGAGGTTATGTTGCAGGCAAGATTTATATCTGCTAAGGTGTTAAGTAACAAATTCACATTTTAACAGAGAACTTTGAGAGTCTTAGTCTTAGCTAGCATGACAATATGACCCAGTTGGTTGGAGACTCTTCTAGTTCACGTCTGTTGCCCTGGTTTTATTATTAAATAGCATCCCTTTCTCTCTCAAAAGTGTCCTAGTATGGGTATTAAATCATGTGGTCACCCAATTTTAATCAAAACAAATGAATAATCATGGTACACCTGTTTGACATACCAACAGGAAAATGAAATCAGATAAGTGAAATCTCAATGTTCCTCAAATCAGCCCTTCATTAACATTAAAAGTGTAACTTCACCAACCTGTAGGAATCAGGTCTTCATCTACTGGCAAAAAAGCATCAGCTTCTATAGTGACTTCATGGTCATATATATTTGAGGAACCCTGGGGAGGAAAAGATAAAGAAAGAAAAGATTTAATGTTTAGCCTTATTTTATGTATTTGCTTTATTAGTTCATTTTTTATACATTTATTTTTATTTGTTTAATGCGTACAAGACCTGGGGTGTAAGCCAGAGGTGGGGGGGGGGTGAGAAGATTTACCAGAGACCCAGTGGGAAGCAGAGCAAGGAGATCTACTGAAATACACTGCTGAGGGGAGCAGCGGGCCAAACAGAAGTCTGCTGTGCCATGTGGGTCAGCTCCCTGGCTGGGGATCGAACTCATGTGGCAGATGCTGGAGATAGCTTGATAGCTGAGACTTTAACCCTTGTGACACCAGGAAGACCCTGATTTATAACTTCATGTTTTCAGGCATTGACAGAAACTTAGAAATCCCATTTCACCTCTGATTAACATGTGGATTAAAATATTAGGTACAGGTAGACAAGAACTCAAAATAGCAGCTGGTAAATTTGGAAGAAGATTTCAATTGGGAAACCAGTGTGTACTTTCTTTTCTTTTTTTTTAAAGATTTATTTATTTGTGCATACAGAACTGGGGTACAGGCCAGAGGCTTAGGGGTGGCGAGAGGCTTCACCAGAGACAGAATGGGAAGCAGAACAGGCAGATCGACGAAGTACACTGCTGAGGGGAGCAGCGGGCAGGTCAGGAGAGGTCTGCCGTGCCATGTGGTCACCTCCAGGGCAGGCGGGAATCGAACTCATGTGGAAGTGGCTTTAGCTTCTTAGTCTTAGTCCTGTGCTTTAACCCGTTGCACCACCAGGGAGGGCCGTACTTTCTTTTCTAAATGGAATTATGAAGCTGAAAATTCAGTGAAAACAGTAACTTTAAACGTTGGCTCATTAGCAAATGGCCTTCTTCCACTCTTCTCATGTGCCTTGATCATAAGAACAAGGGCTGGTGACCTGGAAGGTGCTGCTGATGGCCAAGGCATCACGCCCAGGCTTGCAAGAAGTGGGCTCTCTGTCACCCCTGCTGTGGCCCTGCTCCCTCCAGAACACCCACTCCTTGACATGTGACAGAAACCCAGGAGTCAGAACTGGGTCCCCTTCTGGTCAGTGATCTGAAGACCTACAGTCTAGTTGCATCTCTTGCTTAGGGCTCTAGGGATGTCTCTTGGTGTCCTAGAAACTCATTTCCTTGGGTGTAAAACTGGACTAATGATGGCCCTCCATTGTCCAGGCTCTGGGGAGGAACAAATTTAGTAAAGATATGTTGTGCTTCTTATGAACTAGAAAACAGACATGTACCTTTCTAAATAAAATGATTATTATTTATTTTTTAAAAGATTTATTTATTTATTCATACAGAACTGGGGTACAGGCCAGAGATGCAGAGGGTGAGAGGATTCACCAGGGACAGAGTGGGGAGCAGAACAGGCAGATCGATGAAGTACACTGCTGAGGGAAACAGCGGGCGGGTCAGGAGAGGTCTGCCACGCCATGTGGATCTCCTCCGGGGTAGGCGGGAATCAAACTCATGCGGAAGTGGCTTAAAATTCTTAGTGCTGTGCTTTAACCCGCTGCACCACCAGGGAGGGCCCAAAATGATTATTTTTTATGAGTAATAGAAGCATATTTTAAAACCTCATAGCAGAAGATGTGGGAAGGGAAGCAGACAAGCCTTTTGCTTAGTGAGTATTCAAAAACAAAGTAAGACCTTGTGATTTTGCCCCAAGGACAGAATTTGAGAATGTCTGGAGATAGTAGGTGGCCATCTCTGGGGGTGGTAACACTGCTGGTCTCTGCTGGGAAGATGCCATGAGTTCGACTACACATGCTACAATGTACAGAACAATCTTCCCACCCTTACAACAAGGAATTATTTGGCTCAAAATGTCAGTGTTGCGAACCGCTGAGAAACCCTGAGCTAAGCTAAATGGAAGGGTTATTTGGTTCCAAGGAGCAATCAAGGAGAGGCTGTGGGCTACCTGGAAACAGATTCTGCACCCAGAAAGACTCAGGACACATAATCAAATAGAGTTGTCCTGAGGATAAAGGCCAAGACCAAGATTTTAAAGACCATGAGAATCTATGTCCAGACCTAACAGAAATTGGCTTAATTGCACTATGAGTAGGCTTGTGTGAAGAACTATGATTCTCTTGTATTTGCCCAGTGACAGTACATGATTGGGAGGGGTGGGGTGGGTGGGCAGAGGTCAGGGCAGAAGCCTCTCCTTCCTCCATGCATTCCACCTCAGCCACTTCTTGGGCCACTCTTTTGACCTAGGAAGGCAGGTCCAAAAGGGGACAGGGCCACATCCCTGCCTGAGCAATCTCAGCATAGGGGATGTCTCTCCTGAAAGGCTCTCCTTCCCGCCTCTCATGTCTCTGAGGTACTGACAGTACCGAAGAGGCCTCTGGGACCGACCAGAACAAAAATGAGGGGAGGGACTTTGGGGCTGTTTCCTTGATCTGTTTGTTCAGTGCTCATACCAGTGCTGAGTGCTGTTCCATTGTGTGAATAGAACTCTTCCTTGGTTACCACAAGATAAACCCATTGTAAGCTGAAAATATCCTAAGCCAAAAATGCATTTAACACACCTAACCTCCACGGCACCTTAGCTTACCCAGGGCAACCTTACCTGGCTCAGAACACTTCCACTAGCCTACAAAAGGGCAACATTATTTAACATAAAGCTGATTTTATAATAAGCTGTTGAAAAGCTCATGGAATTTACTAAAAACTGCACTGAGCGTGAAAAACTATCAACAGAGTGTCAGTTATTTGCCCTTGTAACAGCATGGCTAACTGGCGGAGGCTTGTTTCTGCTGCCAGCATCATGAGGTAGTATGGTACTGAATATGGCTAGCCCGGGAAAAGATCAAAATCCAGAAATACCTGCCACTCCACATCTCTGTAAGATTAGAAGGGTGGAGGATTCCGGTCAGGAGGTAAATGGAAACTGCCTCAGTGAACTGTCATTGGCAGAGGTGACACTTCATGCACAATTTCTCTTTTTATTTCTGAATCTAGCCCTGCCCCACAGATTCCCCCAATTATAAAACAAGATGTACACAAAGTATACATAAATGTGGCAAAAGTATACCAAAAAATGGTAAATAGTAAAAAACCAGCATAATCTACCACCTGCTTAAACCATTTATTATTTGTCTATTTCTGTCAAGTTTCTGTCTGACCCTATTTTTATAAGAGGGGTTCTTTCATGCATTACTGCAGACATGTTTTCTGGCTGGACATGTTTTGGCTTTTAGTTTACCTTTAAGGTCTCAAGTAGGATGGGGAAGGTCTTGAAGATAAAGAAAAAAAGTGAAGGGAGAACTTTCACCTCATAGTAGGAAATCACGCCCAAAGTGTTCAAGGATAGTGGACAATGCGTAGCTGAGATAACCCACTAGCTTACTGTAGCTAACGTTTTTATTCTATCTCATATAGCACAGTAAATGATTTCCATGAAGAGGGAATGGGTGGGCGCAGCACTGCAAACTAGCAGTTTGATCTGTAGCCCCGGAGGTGACCACATGGCGCGGCAGACCTCTCCTGACCCACCTGCTGCTCCCCTCAGCAGTGTACCTCAATGATTAGCCTGTTCTGCTCCCCGTTCTGTCTCTGGTGAATCCTCTCACTGCCCCACACCCCTGGCCTGTACTCCAGTTCTGTATGCATAACTAAATAAATTAAAAAAAAAAAAAAAAGAGGGAATGGGTGATGTCAGCAAACACGCCATGAACTCCAATCACTCTGAGGTGCCATCTTAAGTGTCTTTCCACAGAGCTCCTTCCCTGTGCTGGGTTGACTTTACAGTCTTTATCAACAACTTCATAAAGTAGTCAGAGGTAGCTGAAATTGAGAATATGCCCACAACTCTAAGGAAGCTGGGTCTTTTAAATTTAAGTATTTGCACTGTTCTCTGAAGAGTCTGCATGGTCTGCAGATGCTCTGAGGGGAACTGTGTGGGCTGCACAATGACAGCACACAAATACAGACAGACACTGGGTGGGGGGAGGGCCTGGGTCATACACATTTATTTGCAAAGCTCCCTAGGATGGAAAGTGCATTAATAGAAAGCAATTTGGGTGGGTAGGAGTGCAACAGGAGCATCAAAGGTAACTACACATTACATTAGATGAGGAGTCCCTGAAATATCTAGTTATTTGTCTGAGCATGTGAGAAACAGATCAGTGTCTTTCAGGACAATGTACTCACTCTCTCCTCTAGAACTCCATCTACTGATGCTATGTGCCAGCTGATCTGCTGGCAATTTTTTCATCAATTTGGGTGAAGGGGTGACCCCATCACCAGAGTAATTCCATACTGGATTTGGTCTCTCTAGTTTCTCCCATAGGTCATTCCAGAAAGCACCAGAGAGGAGAAAAGAAGCAAATTATATTCCATATTCCAGCAGGGGAGCAAGTTCACTTACCTGACCTGCCAGGTTGAAGTAAGAATGGTTGGTGAGGTTGACAGGTGTGGTCTGACTGGCCTGCGCACGATAGTTGACCACCAGCTCCCCACCGTCCAGCGTGTATGTCACCCAGACTTTCAATTCTCCAGGGTAGCCCTCCTCACCATCTGGACTGACACGTGAGAACTGGACACCATTAGACAGCACTTGAGGGGTCCAGAGGACCTAGAAAAAAGTGTTTTCAAAGCTGGTCAGTCACTCCAGTGTCAAGCTAACTGCCACATTCAATATCAAAGAACTGATTGCAGGAGAGGAGGTGATTAGATGGTTTTGATCAATGGCCTGGATTTAAATTACTCAAAAATTTGTTTATGCCTATAAGTGACTTTTGCTTTTTTTAAAAAAAGATTAAATATTTATGGTATAAGAGCTGGGGTGTAGGCCAGAGGTGGGAGGGGGTAGTGAGAGAATTCACCAGAGACAAAGTGAGGAGCAGAACAAGCAGATGTACTGGAATACACTGGAATACAGCGGGCAGGACAGGAGAGGTCTGCTGTGCCACATGGGACACTCCCTGGCTGGGATGGAGCTGGTGGTGCCTGCTCATAGCTTCCTAGTGCTGAGACTTAACCCCTTACACCTACCAGTGAGTCCCTAAAAGTGACTTTTGGGAGAAAAAATTTTTTTGCTCTTACATACTCTCAATTCCTACATGCCCCCTTTTTAAATTTATCTGAAGTACTTTCTTCTTTTTCTTTAATTTTTTAAAAATCTTGGCACCTTGTTCTCATAGACATGATATTGTAATATCTGCTAAAAGTATTAAAAATAATCTACATAAATCAGCCCTTTCTCCTGGGGCTAGAAATATTTGTAAAAACACTGAAGTTCTCTATGTTCTCTGGGCAGAGTTCCAAGTAACTCAGAGGCACTTGCTCCATGAGGAAGCATTTCTAGCTTCTAAGTCAAGAGTCCTGATTTGGGCCCCTCGCCCCCTCACGCGGGGGAGGCATTGTTCCCTCTTGCTGACACCAGTTTCCAGTTCCTGTTGGGACTGACCCTGGGCAGTGTGGGTTGGAAAGGATCTGGCACAGAACTGACATACCAGGTGTAGCAAAAATATTGGCCATTATTAAAAGGGACTCGGGGCCCTCCCTGGTGGTGCAGCGGGTTAAAGCACAGCGCCAAGAAGCTGAAGCCACTTCAGCATGAATTCGAATCCCTGCCCCAGAGGTGACCACATGGCGCAGCAGACCTCTCCTGACCTGCTCCCCTCAGCAGTGTACTTCGTCCATCTGCCTGTTCTGCTCCCCTCTCTGTCTCTGGTGAATCCTCTCACCCCCCTGCAAACCCTCGACCCCACACCCCAGTTCTGTATACATAAGTAAATAAATCTTTTTTTAAAAAAAGAGCCTTGAATGCCGAGAAGAAACCTCTCGAGGGCCGCCTTAAATACCCCAGCTGCAAGTTTATGTTTGAAACCTTCGGGCTCAGTGAGTTTCTTCTTTGCTGGACCCGGTGTTGCCTTAATGCACACACAGGCCACAAGCTCAGGGCGACTCTGACTGTTGCAATCCCTTCACCTTTTCCCATCTTGCAACCACATGTGAGATTGTAAGACTGAACTTTTGGTGTTAAGTTAGTAAAATGATCTGTCCTAGTTGTGGTTCCTTTCTACTTTGAGACCTCTACTACTTTTCACAAGACATCTCAATGTGTTTTTGTATAACTTATCCAACAAACAGTGATGACTTTACGGCTTAGCAACTATTGTGGTGTTGAAATCTTTGGGACTAAATAATGTTATTTCAGAAAAATTAAAATTTAGAAGCCAAGAACAAAAGTCTCGATTTGGAAGCTGGGCTTGTTTCTGGTTCCCTGTATGACTGTGGGTATTAGAACAAAAGATCTTGAAACTTGCTTGTTTTTCTAGAAAATACTGTCTTCAGAGTGGCAAAACAAACATAAAGAAGAAAAGTTTTCTAAAAGCTTTTTGCTTTCAGAAATAGGGACTCATCTTGTATTAACGTAGTGGTTCACCACAACTTTGCTTTAGGGGCCCCACGTTACGCTTCTAGGGAAGGGAAAGCCAGTATCTACTGAGTGTCTATTACAAGCAAGGCACTTTGCTAGAAGCTTCACACACACACAGAGCTAACTTAAAGACAGGTACCACTGTTTGTATTTAATGATGATCAGAAAGGAGGATTTGTGCCTATTCCCTCACTTTATACAATCAGAGGGCAAGGTGACCCCCCAGGTCCCTAGTACTTTAGGGAAGCCCAGGAATCACCCAGTAAAGGAGCCTGTGCAGTCACAAGACCACCCTTAGTGAAGTGCCTACCAGCCACTGACCAGGTACTTTGCATAAATCATTTTATAAGGTAAGGGATTGAAGCAAATTCCATCTTGGGTTGTCAAAACTTCTGAATATGTCATATTTCATATGATCCCCCATAATTCTCATCCCCATTTGATTGGTGAGCAAACTCAGTTCAGTGGTGTTAACTTGCCCTTGTCCACCGTCCACATCTCAGGGCTCTTTCATACTTCATGCGTGTTGTTCAAAATGAAAACAAACCCCAAAAGACTATATTTAAAGACCACATGTAGTGGGTGACAGAGCTAGGATTCAAACTTGGGTCTGAGAGTCTATACTCTTCCACAGTTTAGTTTCAGTGAGTATTATGTCTGACTCTCCATTTTCAACAGAAGTGTTGAGGCTAAACACTGTTATTCCCGGGCCCTCCCTGGTGGCGCAGCGGGTTAAAGCACAGGACTAAGAAGCTAAAGCCACTCCCGCATGAGTTTGATCCCTACCCCTAGAGGTGATCTACATGGTGTGGCAGACCGCTCCTGACCTGCCCGCTGCTCCCCTCAACAGTGTACTTCATCTTTCTGAGTACTCTATTCCCCACTCTGTCTCTGGTGAATCCTCTCACCTCTCACCACCCCTGTGCCTCTGGTCTGTACCCCAATTTTGTATGCAAAAATAAATAAATCTTAAAAAACAAAACAAAACTGTTATTCCCTTAGACTTGAAAGACAGCAGCATCTGTGGGCTATGGGAGTGGCCTGCCCACCTACTCCTGACTGGCTTGGAGCACTCTTTTTTTTTTTTTTAAAGATTTATTTATGCATATAAGAACTTGGGTATAGGGCAGAGATGTGGGGGTGAGTGGATTCACCAGAGACAGAATGGGGAGCAGAACAGGCTGAAACACACTGCTGAGGGGAGCAGTGGACGAGAAAAGAGAGGTTTGCTGTGCCATTTGGGTCACTTCCCTAGCTGGGGATTGAATTCATGCTGCAGTGGCTGATGAGAGCTTGATGGCACCGATACTTTAACTCTTGCACTACCAGAGAAACCCTGGCTTGGATCTTTCTTATTGCTGTTGCATTTGCCAGGAAGGGGAGCTCAGCAGGAGTGGAGGTCTGTACCTTCTCCTACAGTGAAAGCAGCTGCTATCTGAAACAAATTCACTGACCTTAGTAAAAAATTAATTTTGCACTCTAATTATCTCCCAGAAAAGTTGAACTTTCAAGACACTTTAAATATAAACACTGGCTTATGTGTGATTAAAAACAAAGCAAGAATTCCTCAAATAGAAAATTTTAGAAATACAATATTGGAATACTACCTTATTTTTCCTTTTTAGGACATAATGCAAAGATTGATGTGTAAACCAATATTACCAGATCAACATAATTCATGGGAATTATAATCTGTATTCATGGGAGTATGCTCTGAGCCTGTTCCCTATGAAAATTTCCAAATTTGTATCTCTTATTTCTTGTACCTGCTTATTTCATTTCTGGTCCTGTCATTTTATTCAAAATTCATCTTTTAAAACAACATGTTAATATAAATGGAGAAGTGTGTACACACACACACACATGCCTGCAAGCCACCAATTACACATTAATTGTTGAGATCAAATGCAACAAGTTCATCTGATGGTGCCGGGATTACTCTATCTAGACCCACTGTCTAGAGACTGTTAGTGCTTCCATTACAAGGTTCCATATCCTTTATCATCCCTCTCTGGCCTCTTGCATAGTTATTCTCACCAATATCCACTTACTGAATAAATAAAATGCTAGTTTTCCACTGAGGGCAGTTTAAAATCCCACTTCCCCAGGTGCTGTTCATTTGTCCAAACCCATTTCTAATAGCACACCACTAATACCAATATTATGAGACGTGTTGTAGCCCCCTGGTCACCCGTATGTTAGGGTCTGGCTCCTTCACCCTAAATCTCAAGGATCTAAATCTCACAGTGTCTTACTGTGCTCTATGGTTCACTGAAGTGGCTCAGGAGGCATTGAAAGACACGTGTACTCCACAGATGGCTATGTTCCTGTGGCACATACATGTTGAGCAACATTACAGGAAACACAGTAGGAGAAAAGAGGGAACAGGAACAAGGTGCTAGAAACTCTTCTGCACTCCCTGTCCAATCAGAGCCAGCCCTAACTTCCTCTGGCTGGGGTTTGCCCACAAGCCTGACATATTCCAGAAGCCCCCTGCCTTCATGCCTCCTTGGTGTGAAGAGACCGTTCAAGGAGAAAACGGGTACAGCTCAAGCGGTCTGGGGAGATGCCACAAACAGAAAGAGGCAGGGCAGAGAAACCGAGGGACCAACTTCCTTCACCAGGACCGGTGGTGGTTACAGGCAAACAAGAAGCGGTGGTGATCTCTAGCTGCCTAGGATCTTGTCTAGGAAGAAACCTGGGTGGTATAATTTAAAGGAACATTAACTAAAATTATCTTCCTCATAATCTGAAACTAGACTACCAAGAAAGCCAGTAGGGATACCCTATTGACTCCCTCCAGGTAGGAAGCAGAAGGCCAGGCTGTCTACCTCAGGGAGAAGCACGGCAATCAGTTTGCTCTCCTCACTTGTTTTTTCAGGGATTCAGTTGGGGAACAGGAGTTTTAATGTAGAAAGCGGGGCCAGAATCAGAGGTAACTCTGAGGCATGAGGCACTCCAGTGGAAGAGTAAGCCTGGATGTGGTGCCATATTGCGTGGGTGTGTTGGCTGGGGGTGCCAGCCATTCTAGTGCAGAATGAGACCTTTGTTCCAGGCAGTCGACGTAGAGTTCTGTGGCCTTTCAGAGTTTCAGATTTCTCATTTGGAGAGAATATAGGGTTTTAGTAAGGTTTACAGATAATATATTAAAACGCCTTTTGTGGGGAGTGATAGGTACCATTTTGAATCCATTTTCCTATTGTACCGACGGGCAACCTGATTCCTTGGTCTCAACACTGTGCAAAAATTGTTCCCTGTTTCTCCTAAGTCGAAATCCATTGATTTTTTTTTTTTTTAAATAATCTGCCTGTTATAGTCAGATAAGCTAGAGAAGGATGGGTCCTGGAACAGGTCCAGTGAATCTGCTCCTCAGAATTACCTTTCTCCCTATATCATCTTATAAGCTCTTGCCCCAGGGTTAAGGACCAAGCCTCGTAAACAGAGGTATGCTTGCAGTACCTGAGTAGGGTGCCCAGGGGGAACTTGTCGATGCCCCGGACTCACCTTATCAAACCCTCTGACTCCGCCATGCAGACTGTTGGGTGGTCTGTTAAGGGGTAGCTTGTACTCCTTCCCGTCCAACGAGAAGGTTCCTTTGGCAATTCGGTTGGCCACTCTGCCAATCACTGCTCCAAAGTAGGGCTGCTTCTGGAGGTACCCTGCAAGGACAGAGGACGGCACTGTTTATTAAGACTTCATACCAAAGGTGAGGTTCACACTGCTGCCCACCTCTTTTTCAGAGGGGATGCTGCAACTAATAAAAAATAGATATATCCCAGTCATTGTGGAAGCACAGAAAAAATGGTGTTCTTCACATACAGTCTTTTCCCTTTCCAAAAGGAATGTTTTTTTGTAAACATTTTTAAAGGATATTATAAAATGCATAGAAGAAATTTAAACCATCCTAATTCATCACTAAAGGGATGTTTACCCTTCCCTAATGAGTTTACACACAGATGTACTTTATTTCTTCTTTTTTATAAATTTGGGGTATTAGTATATACATGCTACTTTTTTTCTAGGCCAGTCAATTTCCTTAACTAAAAATCATATTGAAAGGAAACTTATTTATCTTTCTCTTTTTACTTTTTTTTTTTTAAGATTTATTTATTTATGCATACGGAACTGGGGTACAGGCCAGAGGTGTGGGGGTGAGAGGATTCACCAGAGACAGGGTGGGGAACACAACAGGCAGATGGACAGAAATACACTGTTGAGGGAGCAGAGGGCAGGTTAGGAGAGGTCTGCCGCGCCATGTGGGTCAGCTCTAGGGCTGGGGATCGAGCTTGTGCTGCAGTGGCTGTAGATAGCTTCATAGTGCTGCAGTTTAACCCCTTGTGCCACTGGGAGGGCCCTCTTTTTACTTTTTAAAATCCTATATTTAATCCATGAAAATAACCTTTAATGAAGGTTAAATGACGCACAGGAGAATGGGTTTCTCAGAGGGAATCCAGGAAGCCTAATTAAGTCTGAATTTCAGATAAGCTATGAATAACTTTTTAAAAGTTTATTTAAAGATCTATTCACCCATGCATCCAAGAACTGGAGTACAGGCCAGAGGTGTAGGGGGTGAGAAGATTCACCAGGGACAGAGTGGAGAACAGAACAGGTGGATTAACTGAAACACACTGCTGAGGGGAGCAGCAGGCGATACAGGAGAGGTCTGCTGTGCCATGTGGGTCACCTCACTGGCTGGGGATTGAACTCATGCTGCAGTGGCTGCAGATAGCTTCGTACCTTTACCACCTTGCACGACCAGGGAGGGCTCTATGAATAACTTTTTTTTTTTTTTAAAGATTTATTTATTTGTACATACAGAACTGGGGTACAGGCCAGAGGCTCAGGGGCGGTGAGAGGCTTCACCAGAGACAGAGTGGGGAGCAGAACAGGCAGATCGATGAAGTACACTGCTGAGGGGAGCAGCGGGCGGGTCAGGAGAGGTCTGCCACGCCATGTGGTCACCTCCGGGGCAGGCGGGAATCGAACTCATGCGAAAGTGGCTTTTAGCTTCTCAGTGCAGTGCTCCAACCCGCTGCGCCACCAGGGAGGGCCATGAATAACTTTTTAAAGTAAGTTTATTCCTTCTATTATTACACTTTAGACATACTTACATTTAAAATCTTTAAAAATATTTAACATCTTTTTCAAATTCAAATTTAACTGGGTTTTCTGTGTTTTTATTCGTTTAATCAGCCAAGCTTCATAAACAAGAAAACCTGTCTCTGGTGAATCCTCTCACCTCCTGCACCTCTGGCCTGTACCCCAGTTCCTATGTGTATAAATAAATAAATCTTTCTATTAAAAAAAAAAAAGATGAAAACCCTCTTACAATTCTCAACTTCTTCCTGTGATAACCACTGCTAACACTTTGTTTTCCGCTTTTTATAAACACTTCCAATTGTGTTTTTCTACAGATTTAAACACACATCCAAACATACAAACAGGTTCTCCCTGGTGGCATAAGGGGTTAAGTCTCAGCACTATGAAGCAATCCACAGCCACTGCAGTACCATTTCAATCCCTGGCCACAGAGCTGACCCTTATGGCACAGCAGACCTCTCCTGCCTCACCTGCTGCTCCCCTCAGCAGTGTATTTCAGTCAATCTGTCTGTTCTGCTCCCCACTCTGTCTCTGGTGAATCCTGTCACTCTCCCTTCCCCCTCACCTCTAGCCTGAACCCCAGCTCTTGCATGCATGCATAAATAAAATGAATCTTTAATATAAAAAACATTTGCAAACACACACTCTACATAGAGAATCATACTTTACACGCTGATTTGTGACTTTTTATCTGTCAGATGTCTTCCAATCTCTCTGAGTGATTACCTATTCCTTTGGATGGCTACATGTATACTGGTAAGCATAAACTGGGGGCTATTCCAGGGTTTTTCTTTAAATTCCTCCGTTAGAATCCTCTAGTTTTGATTATAATGGCAGAGAGTAAGGTTTGGAGGTATATTATTTTTACTATTATCATCAAGACAACTTTCTACTCTCTTTTTTGCTCAGATGTTCTCAGAATTCCTTCCCCCTTCGTTGGAGCTGGATTCACCCCAACTGCTATGAATCAGGAGACCAGGATTCAAGCTTATGATCTATGTTTAACTAGAATATGGACCCTGGACTGATTGGCTACTCATCGGTCACAAGTTTCCATGATTCAACTGGATGGGCAAAAGTAAAACATTAATCATTCTCTTTCAGGCCCTTTCTGGTTCCCTTTCTTGCTGACTTGCAGGTTTCCTCAGAGGCCTCCCCATGGGCTATTAGAGTTAACATTACCAAGCATGACCTCAGTCTCAGCCACTTTCTAAAAGTAACTAACTTCACTGATACAATACTTTCATGAGGTAGCCACCATTACTACCCTCCTTTTGGAAGCAAAAGACAAAAGGTTAATTAACTTGTCTTAAAATACACAGCTAGGAAGGGGATTCACAACAGGGAAGGGAACAACACAAGGGAACTGGAGATGGTTCATGGGCGATATGGTAGTAAAATTATGGGTGCTACAAAATGTAAAAAGAAAAAATTAATTAATTCAAAAAAGACACAGCTGGTTAGAGGCAGACTCAGGATTTGATGGGGCTGGCTGGCTCCCAGTACACAAGGCTTTCTGGGTAACTGACATGAGTACTATCCCTTGGCACAAGTCAGGCTGATCTCTCTGCCAGCATCCATCTTTTTACCTACTAAGCTTTGTTTGAAGCTATACCTTTTTTTTTCTTTTTATTCATACAGAACTGGGGTACAGGCTAGAGGTACAGGGGCAGTGAGAGGATTCACTGAGCAGAACAGGCAGATTGACGAGGTACACTGTTGAGGGGAGCAGTGGCCAGACAGGAGCCGGCTGCAGCGCCATGTGGATCACCTCCGGGGCTGGGGATCGAACTTGCACTGAAGCGACTGCCAACAGCTTGCAGTGCTGGGTCCTAACCGTTGAGCCACCAGGGAGGGTCACCTGAAGCTATACCTTTAACGTCCCTTTTGGGTAACTAAAAGGAGACCCAGAGGGCCAAACACTCTTTTCTTGATTTTTCTGTTTAGTAGTTTTTAAACATTTTACATTAACAGCAAGTTGAGCAGAAGATACAGATTTTACCCAGAGTTTCCTCTGCTGCCCCCCCCCATGCATAGCTTCCCACATCATCACCCCCCACCACTGTGGTATGTTGATAACAATAGAGGACCTACTTTGACATGTAATTATCCCTTAAAGCCCATAGCTCACCAAGACTCACTCTTGGTGCAGTACATGCTGCGGGTTTGGATGATGTAGTGACACGTACCCACCATTATTCTATCACACAGACTAGTTTCATTTCCCTAAGTCTTCTGTGTTCTGCTTATTTATCCTTCCCTTTCCTTCCACCTCTGATCTTTTTTTTTTAACCTTTTTTTTTTCTTTTTTAAGATTTATTTACTTCTGCATACAGAACTGGGGTACAGGCCAGATGTGAGGAGGGGGATGAGGGGATTCACCAGAGTATAGAGTGGGGAGCAGAACAGGCTGCTGGACTGAAATACACTGCTGAAATAAGACAGGGGAGGTCTGCCATGCCATGTGGGTCAGCTTCCTTGCTGGGGATCGAACTTGTGCTGCAGTGGCTGCGAATAGCTTCACAGTGCTGTGCTTTAACCCACTGCACTATCAGGTAGGGCCCCTCACCTCTGATCTTTTTACTATGCAATAGCTTTGCTTTTTTTGGAATGTCTACAGTTGGACTCATACAATGTGTCACCTTTTCCCGATCAGTCTTCTGCTTAGTAATATGCATAAGATTCCTCTGTCTTTTATGACTTGATAGCTTATTTACTGTTAGCACTCAATGATATCCCATTGTCTCTATGCACCATCCATCTACTGAAAGACATTTTGTTTGCTTCTGAGTTTTGGCATTGCTATAAACATCCATCTGTAGGTTTTTGAGGGGACATTCATCTTCTACTCCTTTAAGTAAAGACCTCAGATCTGGTATGACTGTTGCATCATGTGGTTAGAGTATGTTTAGTATTATAAGAAACCCCTAAGCTGTGTCCCACAGTGGTTGTACCATTCTGGACTCCCACCAGCAATCGTGAGAGTTACCATCGCTCCACATCCTCTGTAACATTTAGTGCCGTAGTACTCGATCTAGTGATTCTAATAGAGCTTGTTCCTGTTTTGATTTACAAGTCCCTGATAACATATAATGTGTGTTTTTCAGGATCTCAAAAATGTTAAGTGGAATTTTTATCTAAAAATTCTCCAGCTATATCTATTTTTGACTCAGAACTTGATTCATTCAACAAGTGTACCCCAAGCTTCTATTTTTATGCCAGCCATAGGCAGGCATCAGAGACAAAGACAAATTCAACAAGGCTGCTGTTTTACAGGCTTCAAGAATTCCTCAGAAAGAGCCGCTTTCTGACAACAGCCAATAAGTTCATAGAAACAAAAATTGTAAAAATAGCATCTTTAGCAATACTAAAAGAACTGAAAGTTAGGCCCTTGATGTAGATGAAGAGTATTTATGGATGAATCCATCCATCACTCTCAATTGTCCTTGAAAAATTCTGCAAGACAACTCTATTTTACACTGTCTTCATGTCACTAAGCTTTTATATCAAATCAGAACTACAAAAAGTGACAGCCCCCAAACTGTGAATAGGTCATGACTGAAAAGTTGGTATTTAAATGCAGAAAACACCGCTTTCCATGAAAAAGGGCAAAACTTGTAGGTCAACCCATAAATGTGGATTTAACTGAACCAATCACTGACTTGGGATGTAAGGTCAAAAATAAGTATTGCAGGGCTCTCCCTGGTGGTGCAACAGCACCATGAAGCTCTCAGAAGCCACTGAGGCACAAGTTCGATTCCCGGGCCAGGGAGCTGACACACACATGGTGTGGCAGAGTGCTTCTGACCTGCCCGCTGCTCCCCTCAGCAGTGTATTTCATTTGACTGACCTGTTCTGCTCCCCACTCTGTCTCTGGTGAATCCTCTCTCTCTCTCTCTCTCACACACACCCCCCACACCTTTGGCCAGTACCCCAGAACTTCTCCTATAAAGGCACCTTGAACATCTGCTGTATTAAACTTAAGCCTGTAAACTGGTCCCCTTTCCTCCGCCCCTCATATATACTCAGGCTTTCTGAAAGCATTAAGTTTACTTTTTCCATAATGGCTCTCATGGCAGTTATAGCTGGTGTTTTGTGGTATCTGGGGAGAATAAGAAAGGGAAGGAGTCACATTTACTGTATGAGTAGGTTGTTTATACCTGTGGCTTTTAATCAAATATTCTCATTACAGGTTCTGAAGGAAATCAGTGACTTTAGGTAGAACATGTAGATGAAAAACATTTCAAATATTTTAAATACCAAAAATGATTGAAATATTCATAGGAGGCATTACTGGTGTTTTAGGCTATACGTATAAGATCATATGATTTATCTGTTTACAATTCTACAGCAGAAAGAATTCACTTTCCCGGGGAGAAACTGAATCATTCTGACCTCTGGTCATGGCCATGATCCAAAACAGTTTATATAATCTACCTGAGAAATTGGAGAGAATTCACATCTCACCTAGCAGTTAGAAAAGACTGTGTCTCATGGATAATCCATGCTTAACTCTTTCTGGTGACTCAAAATATGGTGATATCAGGATAACTGCTTGTTCTACCATGTCTTGTTGCTTTAAAACATTTACCTCAAAAATTTTATTGAAATTTGAGTACTCATTCTAAAAGAATATACAATGAAAATTAAGTCTCCTTCCTACCCCTGCACACTAGAATCCTTTCTTTAAGACAACCACTGTTGCGTTTCTTAACATGAGTTAACACACCCTAGAACTGATCAAAATAGTAGCAGAGTACCGTCTCATTCTATGATGAATGAGAGGATTAGGTTTCCTGTTATGACATATATGAAGTCTTCTTTATCTCTGGCAATATTAAAAGAATCTATGACAACCTGAAAGATGGCCTTTAAAGGAAATAAGGAGTTACTTGCAATAACCTCAAAGATGGCTACATATCTTAATAAATGTCCTTTAAAATAAATATCTAAATTAGAGCATAGGAATGAAAATGTCTACCTTGATCCAGTGCCCAGAAAATTTCAGATTGCTTTGATTCACCTCAGCATTTTGTGAATAGCGTCCTTCCAAAACTGAACCTTCTTTGTCTATTAAGGAACTGGGGCTCCCCAGGCACCCCCCATCATATAAATTCATAGAGATATAGAGATACCATGTGCTTTAAGATCGATATGACTCTTCTATCAGGATGAAAAAATGAAAAGGATTGTGTGTGCACAAGCGTGCGTGCATACATGTGTGTGTGTGTGTGTGTGTGTGTGAGAGAGAGAGAGAGAGAAAGAGAGAGAGAAGGGTGTTACCTCTTGAATGATGATAAGGCAGAAAAGGAATGAGGTGAAAAAGGCAGGTGCTCAGTTTCTCATTTCCAATTCTTTTCTGGTTCTGGAATTCTAGTCCACATATACAATTTTCCTGTCATTCCACTGGGCAATTTTGCACAGTCAAGTAATCTCTTTGTGATTTTGTTTCCGCCTAGAAAATGGTTATGCTACTTACAGAGAGCAGTGACTCAACAAAATGGCTCTAAAGAATTCTCTTTTGTCACTTGTCAACCCCCTTGCCTTCTGACTCTAAAGACAGAGGATATGAACCCCAGCCCTGGAAGTTCTAGGGTATACAGACAAGGGGGGGAAGTGGAGCTGGTATTCCCCATCCTTGAACCTTCCTACTCATGAGTGTCCTGTAATAGCCTTCCTGACATTTCCAATGAAGGTGAGCCCCTTCCCCAAGCCAACCTGTGGAGGCCCCAAGGCAGACAGACGACAGACAGCAAGAAATAGGATTCCCGGAAATATATCCGTTTGTTAAGGAAAAGAGCAAATTTCAGTATCCTTAAGCGAAAACCAACACTCGGTGTTCTGTGACCTCCAACCATAAGCCATGTTACATATATAAAGAACCCAGGGGCAGAAAAACACACCTAAAGGAAAACCTCAAACCTCCTCTTTAGCAGATTTAGTCCACACCCCTGCTACTGAGCAAAGGATATTCGTTCTCCTGCGGCTTCCCTCTACCAGCTTTTTTCAGACATTTTCAGTCTAGCTAACCCACCGTGCATGAGATGGCATAGTGAACATTTTCCTTTGCTCGGCTCAGTCTGCAATTGTGATTATTTATTTATGCAAATACTTGCTAAAGTCTTAGCTCTGTTGGGGGAGGAGGGCTTGTCTGTCTCATTGAATGAGCTTGTGAGTGCATGAATTAGTACTTGATCTTAATTGTCCATGGATTGGGACAGAATAATAAGAGCCCACCCTTGTTGGAAGGAGTCCTTATTCCAGACAATGGATTAATTGTCTGCTTTTAAAATTCAGTTCAAGTTACTACCAGGCAGAGGGTGTGGGCACTAAATAAACCTCGCAGACCAAAGAGGTTAAGCTGTGTGCACCCACTGAGTTAAAGCGATGAGCATTTCTGAGATAACCAGGCCTCAAAGAGTTTGTGATCAAGGAAAAAGGAAGACTTCTGTCTTTGATTTTCCTTCTTCAGAAAGGGCAAGAGGAAGGACCTGGGAGCCACACCCCCTCGAGCCAGCAGTCTCCTTTCGGGCCCTCGCCAAGATTAGGCAGTTCAAAGATCGCTCCAGGGTGGCTGGAATTTTATTTTACTCTCACTTGACCTTTTTAATTAGTTGAGGCCTGCGTGGATAACCAGGGGCCAAATTCTACAGCTATTTCCATTTTGCTTTTTTTCCAAGCACTGGAGCGCAACTCAGTGAATGGGACGGATCCAAGCACTCTGGACCGCCTCAAACTGGGGTTACTTCCCATCGGGCCCGGAAGAGCTGGCAGCCAGATTCCGGGGCGCGTGCGGGGTGTGTCTGGGGCCGTCCGCAGTCCCGGGCAGAGTTCAACCCACCTTCCAACTCCTCAAAGCCGAGCACCACATCAGAGGCTCTGCCCTGCCTGTCTTTGACCTCCAGAGCCGTAATGGTGCAGCCCCAGGAGATGATGTCCACTCTCAGCAGGTCTGATTGCAGCTGGAACTTCTCCACCGTTCCTGCCCCTGAGGGCAGGTCTCCAAACGCGGCCCTGGTCACCGAAACCATGTGGAAAGTTAGGAGAGCACAGGCAAGCCCGGGTAGTTCCAACTCCAGCCGCCAACCAGGAGCGATCAGTCTACTGGAGAAAGGGCGTGACAAAGATCAGACTCCTCCCCTTCCTTGCCTGGATTTAGGGAGTGACCACCCCTGCAAAAAATATCCTCTGGGGCCTTTCCAAGTCATTCCTATTCCTCAGGGTGACAGCGAAGGCAAACTTCCAGCCTGGTTAGCTGTGGTTTCTTTGGCTACCCCTGGAGGCATTGCATTTTGGGAGTGGTAGTTTGGGGAAAGTGACATTGCATTTTGGGGTCTGTAGTCTTTCTAAACCCAGATCCTGAGCTTCAGTATTCTCTACCAGATTCTATTGCCTGAGCTTCTCAATAAGCTATCCACTATTGTCTGACTTTCAGATTAAGTGCTGGAATATGCAGAGCGTTAAAGCGGGAACAGGGAGGCGAGGGGGGCAATTCCCCTCTGATCCAGAGGGCTTTAAAGTGCAAAGGTAGTTTAGGGAACGGGGACATGATTGCCGTTTGTCTGTATACAGCCTGAAAATCCATTCTGTTTATCCCACGGAGTGAAGCCTTAGAGAGGTTCCGAGCGGCAGCCTGAAGAGGGACGTGTCTGATTGGGGCCAGCGCCCGGTTTTTCTTCCCCCAGGACTTTCCGGAAAAGGATCTTGCTATTTAACCCCTCTTGTTCCAGAACTCCAAAGTTCATTTAAGAAAGTAATTAAGTGGGCTCATGTTTATTAAAGTTCTAATAAATGTCAGGTAATGTTCCCTTAATATCTCCTCATCCACAAATAGAAAAAAAAAAAACTTAAAGTACGTATTGTTGGGAAAGGAATGACACAGAGGTCACCAAATAATTGATATGCTTTTGTGTACCTCAGAATTGTCTGAGGACATTTAAAAAATCCCCAGGCCCATCATTGGAATTTCCTGAGTCTGAGTGCAAGGTAAAAAGCTCTAGAACCTGTCTTGTTCACAATGCCTGAAAGTTATTCTGTTGCAGATGACCTCGGACAGATTTTGACTAATCGCATATTGCTCCTCCTCCCAACCAGATGGATGGCAGAGGCCTAAGATAGAGCTACCCTAGGCTTTCATAGATTTGGCAGATAAAATACAAGAGCGTGTTATTTTTTTTTTATTTTTTATTTTTGCTATATCTGGCAACTCTTGCTCATACTGCAAAAGGAAAGGGGGATGGTGCTGGAAGCTCAAAGACCTGTTTTATTCAACCAAGGGAATGCTCAGCCAGGTTTTACCTGACGCTGCTTTGGGTTTGGCTCCTACCTACTTCAGAGGGAATAAACTAGATTGTGTTGCAGGCTGGAAGCACCTATGATTAGGAGGCTTGGGGGATCAAGTTCTGTAATCAGATGCTAATAAACCATAATAACTGTCTCTCAGCCCTATCTGGGTGCCATTTGAATGGATATTTAGCATAAAGCCTCAATTCTCATTCATGAAGCAGGGGGAATTCTGATAACAAAGAAAAAAGGGACTTCAGTGAAGCACAGTGTACGATGTTAAAAAAAAAAAAAGACCATTACAAGCTGCAGCACATTCATTCAATAACCCTTGCTATGCTGCTTCACCAGAAATTCTCATAAACTCTTCAATTCTCATCAGCCCACTTAACATTTATAGCTGATTCATCCACAAGCCTGTCACACGCTGTGTTAGCAAAGTTGTTTTAGAGGCTCTCTGTGAGCAGGAAGTCTGCCTTTTCTTTTCTCAGCCTCCAGTTCTCATTGTTCTGCCAAGCTCATGATGTCACAAAAGTAAGTGCATCTGAGTGGCCTAAGTCAAGCATTACAAGGCGAGATCTTAAAACTCAACTCGGTAAAAAAATGAAACAGCAGGGTGTCTCTCTAAGTTCTACTGTGTACCTTCTTGATTTCATTTTCCTTTTGCTTTGGTACTGCTTCGTGCTAAATCAGCTGACACGCATAGACCTTGATTTTTATTACCCAAATACTCCATTTTCCTAGTCACACAGTGATAGCTAGAGGAATATTTGTGCACTTAAAAAAGTCAAAAGAAAGCCTACATCCAAGTAAAACATTTCCATCCCCAAATTTTGATTACTCCAGAAGCAAGGTAGTGATTTTGAAAATGAAGAATTGTCAGTTTTTTTGAGTTATTTATTTTTATTTTTGGGATGGGACTGAGGATGAGGTTATGGGTAGACGGGCAAGTCAAAATGTTACAGGACAGGGTAGACGGGCAAGTCAAATTGTAACAGTTACAGGTTTCATGGACTCCGCCCCTACTCCAGATGCTGGAACTCCAAATCCCATCAGTACCAAGGAGAAGCACACAGGAACGTTGAGGGTGGAGCTGAGCAGCCAGGTTGGGATAAAACCGGACATGTGGGCTCTGGGGGAGACCTGGTAGCTCGCAGCTGATCGTTTTGGCTCTCAATCGGTTTTCAGCGTGTCAGTGGAGTCCAAGTCAGCAGAACTGGTAGGGCATCCTAGTTAACCTGTGTTTCTCTCCCTCTTTCCCTGGGTTAGTCCTTTACCTTTCTCCTTATAAATAAATCCATTATTTAACCTTTTGAGTGTGTCCATAATACGATTGAATCGTAAGCGCACGGGTGAAGACCCACAGACAGGCAACCCAATTCCCATTGGGGTGCCCTGTAACAAAAATGTTACAGGACAGGGAGAGAGGCACCATTGAACCCCCAAACCTGCCTGACTCTAAATAGGTTCTGCCGTCCACCGCATCAAGACAAAACATATAAGACTTTAATGAGAGGGAACTTTAATACAGTGAGTATACAATACAGGAGACAAAGAATATAATTTCTAAATCTAACAGCCGAAGTTACCCATCCCTTTGTGGGTAAAAGTCCACCCAAAAGGGATTGGTCCCAAGCAAGGCTGGAAAGCCCACCACAAGCCTAAAGCACCTTCTGACCCCGACCCATAGAAAGGGTCAGGCATGGCCAGACAAGTCTGGGAGGAAAAGAGCAAAATCAAAATCAATATAAACACTGCCATAGTCACCTCCCCACGGGTCTCTCCCCACATCTGTTTCAACCAGCACAGGGCCAAGAACCAAGCACGGTGTCTTCATATGTCTCTCTGCTCCACGTGGCTCCCTCAAGTCTCCTCTAGCTCTCCATCCTGCTTCCTTCTTCAGATTCCTTCTCTTCTCTGCTCAGCTCCACCCTCCTTCTGGGTGGGGCAGGAAACCTGGAACTTCCCCTTTTCCTGGGGACCACCATGTTACAAAAGTAGAAACCAAGATAACGTTGCCATGGTCGGCCTCCCCATGTGTCTCTCACCCTCATGCTTCTTCTAGTTGTCTCTATATCTCTCCTCCACACCCCTCAATTCCCTGGTACAATTCCAAAGCCAAGAAGCAAGCGTGCCCCTACCCCTGCCATGTGTCAGTCTTCTCTGCCTCCCTTCATGTCTCTTGAGCCCACTTGCCATGTCATAAAGCTCCGCCAGGCTACTCAGCTCTGCCCCTCACTAGGTGGGACAGGGAGCATGGTGCTTCCCCCTCTTTTGGAGATGTCTCTGTTTCAACCAGACAGTAAGGTATCAGAGTAGACAGACTAAAGAGTAAGTCTCCTTAGATTCTCTTCAACTATGTTGAGTGGGGAGCAGAACAGGCAGATCGACTGAAATCCACTGCCGAAGGGAGCAGCGGGCAAGTCAGAAGAGGTCGGCCACGCCATGTGGTTCCCCTCCCGGGCAGGGAATCGATCTTGTGCTGAAGTGTCTTTAGCTTTGTTGTGCTTTGCTTTAACCTACTGCGCCACCAGGGAGGGCCCCTGTTTCATCAATTTTATGCACAGCACTTTCAAAACAAGCTCATCATCCAACTCCCCTCTGAACTTAATTGTGGCATGTATTTTAGGAGTTCTGGGATGACAACTGGCTTGGGCACATCCTAGGTGTCTGTTATAACAGCAACTTTCAAGAGTCGAAATTCTTTTTGTTCTTGAAGTTATAGACTTGACATAGTGAAGAGGCCAGGGAATGGCATGGCTGAATCTGTGCTAAAATTATGTCAGTAGGCCAGGGAATGGCATGGCTGGTTCTGTGCTAAAATTATGTCAGTAGGTCTTGGTTTTTCTTTTCCAGGTGCTTCTATTTTCTAGTGTGTTTGGCCCTATTTTAAGAACTTCTGTTCTACTTATGATTTCTACTACCCCCAAGTTTATATTATCTTATAGTATAAAACAAATTTCACATTCCCAGTCATATCAACAAAAGTTTCGGTATTCAATCTCTTGATCATATGACCTTCTGACCCATTTACCTGGTGATTCTAGGGTAGTTAGTGTCAGTCTCACCCGGTAATATGAGAAGGGGCAGGCCTAAGTCAAGGGAAAATATGGACGCTGTTCCCAAAGTGAGAATGGGTCCTGAGGGGGCAAAAAAATATGTGTCCAGGAAAAAAAAAAAAAAAGGAGGGGTGCTAATCTCACTAGAGAATTGCAAATGTGTTCAAAATTAGAAGTAAGAAATAACTGCACTGGGAATTGTTATAGAAAATCAAGTGTTAAGAATATTTTGACATCAAAGTTTCTATGTCTCACAAAGAGCTTTCAACATTTGTCAGGGGTTCGGTAGCAGTTGTTGTCTCAGCTTTACTTCTAGTCTTTCATCTTTGTCTTCCTTAGTATCTTAACTAATGTGGTAGAATGCAACCTCACTTGAATCTTTCTCAATATTTCAATCTCTTACTTTATTTCAAAGGACAAGAGCTACCAATGTTCTAGAAAGAATGTTAGCTCAGATCTGGCCTCACCTGAAACAGATTCATTCTTTCTTTGTCTGAGAATAAACAGGAACAGGGAACTTCTCTCCAAGTTTATATGGACTCTTTTACTCATGGAATCTTAGTTTTAAAAGTATGGGTAAATATAATTCTTAGCAGAAAGTAACATGAATTCAACGCTTAAAAATCATCTAACCCAAATAAATGTGGAGAATCCACTCATGATTTTGCCAGTCTGATTCAGCAACTTTTGATTCAGAGTCTTTTGACAATGTAAACTGCAATTAATGTGAACCTAATTTCTATGTGACACTTGTTCAAGAGATCCCAAGGAGCATAAAATTCTTATAATATCTTGCTTTTGACTGGATCATAATGAATTCAGCTTGAAGATAAATTTTTTACAGGATATAAGAAGCATTTTTTATTGCCAAATCACAACTTTGAAAAGTTACACTCTCATTAGTTAAGATTAGGTTTGGGGCCCTCCTTAGTGGTGCAAGGGGTTAGGACACAGCCCTGCAAGCTAACCGCAGCCATTTCAGTGTGAGTTCGATCCCCTGCCTCAGAGGTGATCCACATGGTACAGCAGACCTCTCCTGACCTGCCTGCTGCTCCCCTCAGCAGTGTACCTCATTGATCTGCCTGTTCTGCTCCCCACACTGTCTCTGGTGAATTCTCTCACCGCCCCTGTTCCTCTGGCTTGTACCACAATTCTGTATGCATAAATAAATAAATCTTTATTTAAAAAAAAAAGATTAGGTTTGGCTGCCTGTAACAGGCACAAAATAACTGTCACTTAAGAAAGAGATAAATTTATTTCTTCCCTAAAAGCAGCCTACAGTTAAGTATGTCAGATCCTGGGATTTTGCCCTGCTTGCAAGCCGAAAATTACTGTCTCATGGATGCTGACTGAAGACACAGGATTGTTGGGTTTGAGGCGTAGGACATTGCTGCTCACTTCATAGCAAGGAGCCTAGGCTTCCTGTGCCTGTCCCCTACGGTCCCCAGCACTGATGGAGGTAATACCTGGGGGACAGAAGTATCTATACAGTGGGTGCGCATACAACTGAAAAACTGGAAGAAGATACTACCTTATTCTTTGAGCCTGCTCATTGTAACCTCAACTCTGAGAAATGGTTGGCTAAATAACAGTCAAGGCCTCACATTCTTGACATACCCCAACAGATGTTCCGGGATGCTCAGGACAGTGGATTGCTGGTGGGTTGCTTCTCTCTACAGTTGGTCAATGTGATGATCTGGGACTTTGGCTTCTTTTGACTGTGGCTTCTCCATCTATCAGATACAACCTGAGGTCCACATTTAAAACAGCAGGATAAGAACACATGGGACTATGGGGATGGCACAGGAGTGAATTGATGATGGGAACTCCGTGGGGATTACAACCAAGATGAAAAAATGCACAAAATGAAGAATGATGTAAATTAATTGATTGATTAATTAATTAAATAAATAAAACCAGGTGTTGAAGAAGAGACAGGCCCCCCCTTTTAAGGACACTTCCTGAAATTTCCCTTCATATCCCATTTGGCATACATCTGGGCTGGGACTACATGTATTAGATACACTTCAGGCACCACCCAAACTGAGAACACAAAGGAATTAGATGATGTCCTGAAATCTGGCAATAACAGGAATTTTACTCCAGGTGATGGTGTATTTTGCAGTGTTGAGCTAGAGACTCCCAAGATCAAAGTGGCAAGGTCTGAAAGAGCTCTCGTTGGAAAGGTCATTATACCCAGAAGTTGGGTGGTGCAGCATGGGAACCATTTTGATGTTGATGGCTTTATCAATAGGGGAAGAGCCCATGCCACATGGCTGTCCTTGCAATCCTCATTTGAGAGCTGGCTCCCACGCAGGACATGGGCAAACCTTAGTCAGTCAGTATGGGATCGGGGCTGTTTGTGTCATGGAGGAGAGACTGAGCCAGAGTTGGAGAAAGGGATTTCTAGGAATCAGTGTTGACCCAGTTACATACGGAATTTCCAGGGACCTAGTGGCTGGGATCTGTCTGGGTCACTAACTATCCAGTTCAGGTCCCTGGGGATGACCTCGTAGCTACCAAGTACTTCCTTCTAGTTAATGGTGGTTCTGCAGTATACCCAGAGGGTTATAGGGAATCCCAGGAATGCTTCTCTTTCTTGGATGACTTGAGCTCAAAGTAAAAGCACTCAGCCAGTTCATTCCACTTGGGCTCCAAATTGGGCCTCAGTCTTGTCCCTTGATTTCATGTCATCTTTTAGCAAATTGATGGTCTCCCCCTCTGTGCATGGACAGGACAGTCAATGACCAGGTTGACTTTGGTTAGACAGAGTCCAAGCAGAGAAATTCACTTAAACATTACTACATAGTTTTTAAAAGACTAAGAATATCTTAATCTTTGAATAAAATTATATCATAACATAATCTCTAGTATGCTACTAGGTCATCGAAGAAGGACATTGATGAAATTGTGTTACTTTTCTAGAAGGACAGGGAGAAGACAAGGAAGGGTTGGAGGGGCGACATTTTAACAACTAATGCAGAGACAGCTGCATGACTGGAACCTCAGGTAAGATAAGAGCGCTTATCAGCAAAACCTTTGCCTGCACTCATGGGGTCTATCCTAGTGGAAATGACTGAGTAACTTTATTGTAGCAACTCTGGGGCATGAGAAAAAGCCCTGATAAATAGTTAAGAAGTAGGGCAAAGACTAGCTATGCGACAGGCACCTTCTAACCAGGTTCAAAAGGTTAAGCAGTAGCTTGGGGGTGGGAGGAGAATGGGTGAGGGGGGGTGTTCAGTCAGAGTCAGGGCAGTAAGTCCATAAGATGATAACAGAAAATGGGTTCTCACGTGACAGCTTCATTATAGAGCACCCCTTTGCTCCCTGTCTTGTTGGAGACTATCCTCTGGGTGTAGAGTGGACTATAGACATTGGGTTATAGGCATTCCTTAAGTAGGCTTGAACAGAAACAATGCAGGCGCCATTTCTACTCATCTTTAAGAGTTAAAACTAAATTTAGGTCATAGAATTGCAGCTGAATTGGCCGTTTCTTCTGGGCTTAACCACATTCTATAAAGAAATGTGGTTGTACAAGGGCCAGGTGGAGTCACGAGGAGGCAAAATATGACAGTCTCTGTGTGGTGGTTATTTGCGACACCACTTCTGACACTACATGTGTGTAGTTTTTCCACACACCAACCAGTTCTCCAGTGTGCAATAATTCAGTTCAGTTTTGACACTACCTTAAGTTGGGGGTCCAATCCTTCATGTGAAAGGGTTCAGTTCCACAAAACAGACCCCGCTTTAGACACTGGCTACAAAGGGGGTGCCTAGGCAACCCACACTCTGCCTGCTGCCTACAAAACTGTAGTTTTGATAATTTGCTAGAATGGCTCACAGAAGTCAGGAAAGTGCTTTACTTTCACTCCAGGGTCATTATAACGAATTTAAGTGAGGGACAGTCAAATGGGAGCATGCATTGGAGAGTTATGGAGGGTAGGGATTGGGAGAGGGAGTGGGATTGGAGCAGAGCTTCTATGCCCTCTGTTGTCCAGTCATCTCCTCAGCATATGAATGGGTGCACCAACCTGAAATTCATGGAACCTGTCCTTTAGGGAGTTTTAATCAAAGTTGCATTAGGTAATCATGATTACTTAAATAACTAACCATTGGTGATTGCATTCAATCACCACCCTTCTCCCCACCCCTGAGGTCATTGTGTGAAGCTGAAAGTTGTAACCCTCTTAATCACTTGGTTGGTTTTTCTGGTAAAAACCAGTGCCCATCTGAAGCTACTTAGCACATCCTGGCCCTGCAGCACCCTAAAGATGAAACCACTAGCATGTCACGTTAGACACTCATCACTAGAGTGATTCCAAGGGTTTGGGCAGTTCTGTGCAGGGCTATAATCACATTGCCACAGTGCCCAGAAGCCGCTGGGCAAGGCTGCTTTGAACACAAACATGAAGCAGAATTTGGATCCTGGAGATGCTGCCTCACGTTGGAATCGGGATCCCAGGAGAGGAATCAGCACTAACATTGGCCAGTGTCATTGGGTTTGAAGATGTGCTTGCGAGGCATCATGCAAGGTTTCTCTCAGGGTAGGTATAACTGTTATTACTTCATGGCTAAGGAAACAGACTCATTAAGTCTGGGGCTGGAATTCAAACTCAGGCTTTCAGCTCTGATGCTGAGCTCAAAATAGTAAGCAACTTAAAGAGAACATGTTGAGCTGGTGTGACTTGGTTTCGCACGAGACTCCTCACAGCCACGGGATAGAGTCCACCTCTCTACAGTCACTGCTACAGAAAGTGCTATGCTGAAAAGTCAATTCTGTGCTGCCAGGATGAAAGCTTCAGTTTGCAGAGGCTACTTAATGAAGCAGCTACTTTCTCAGGACCTCCCTGGGAAATCACCGGTCCTGCTGAATGCTTCCTCTCGATTACTGAACGCAAATCCCTGAGGTATAGCACTGCTAACATTTCTGGAAATTGCTGAGATCTCCATATGCCAGGCTGAATCTAGCCTGCTTGTACCCAGGATAGTTCTGAGTGTTTAAGTCAGCCCTGGGGGGAGGGCAGCCCTTCTGTGCAGCTTTAGGGGAGAGGTTAGATGAGCTGACATTGGACTAGTGCTACCCTGAGATTTTGAGTCAGCCAAGGTCAAATCCAATGGCAACAGTGAGGGAAATGGATGTGGGAGGTAACATTAAAAACTTCAGGATTAGATGAGAGGGAAGTGAACTGGGTGATGGTTCAGGTTGGGTCATTAACGGACAGCTGAACCCAGACAACTGGAGTGGGCCCTCCCTGGTGGCTCAGTGGGTTAAAGCACAGCACTAGAAGCTATTGCAGCCAGGCAGTATGAGTTCAATCCCCAGGCAGGGAGGTGACCCACATGGCGCAGCAGACCTCTCCTGACCTGCCTGCTGCTCCCCTCAGTGGTGCATTTTGTCTATCTGCCTGTTCTGCTCCCCACTCTGTCTCTGATGACTCCTTTCTCTCTTTCTCACACACACACCCACCTCTGGCCTATACCCCAGTGCTGTCTGCATAAATAAATAAATCTTAAAAAAAAAAAAAACAACTGGAGTATGTTGTAGGACAGGAGTTTAGAGAAAATATGTGCACTTGGCTGGACTGCATTCTACTTCCATGAGGGTCTTTATCCCTCTCAGGGACACAGTGGAGGGGCATTGTGACAGATTATGTGACAGGTTATGGGTGGAAAGGGAAAGACAGGCAAGCCTTGGCATTGCCTGGAGAAACTGGTCAAGTAAGTGGTCAGCAAAGAGTCTGTGAGCCCAGAAGGTGGTCCTCAGCATTTCAGGGAAGAAATCCTGATAGGACCCCAGGATTCATCCTCCTTAGGGAGACCACTCACAACTAGACTCTTAGAGACTGCTGTCTAAAATACATTTCCTTTCTGGGTGATTCTTTTTCAGTACCAGTCTCTACTATTGAAGAACTGGAGACAATGAATTAATAAGCAAGCATCATTGATGAACATGATTTGGGCATTGTAAATACATGTGGTTTTCCAGTCTTCAATGTCTATCAAAGGGCTGTTTCGCATTATATTATTCATGAGATAAATGAAAAAGAAGGACCTTGATGGCGATCGGGAGAGAGAATGTGGAAACCTCAGACACAGATGAAAAAACTGAAGTCTGTCTTTGTTTCCAGAACTGAGTGCTTCACAAAGAGATCACTCAAATCCCAGAGAGCTCTGACTTCTCTTCAGGGTATTCTTCTCTCTTCTAGATTCCTGATTGAGAAAAGATTAAAACAAATCTTTAGACAATTTGCAAACCCCAAAATGCGTAAAGTGCACAATTCAATGGTTTTAGTATATTCACTGGTATATACAGCCAAATCTAAGAACGTTTTCATTACTCCAAAAAGCCAGCCTCATCCAGTGTCAGTCACTCTCATCCTTTCTCCCCCCATGAAGTCCCTAGGCTTAGACAACCACTCTCTGTTTGAGAAAAAAAATATTTGGAGTCTGGTTTTCTGCTGCAAAATCCATAGAAAATACGATTAAGAATAAGCTTCAGGGTGGGCACTTAGGTTTAAATATAACAAGAAAGGCAATTCATCGGCTGTGCTAGTTTTTTCGTTTTTTTAGGTGAAAGAACTGATTCAATGCTGTACACACTGGCTCTGAGTTAGAAGCAGAGTTTCTGTGTAACTCGTCCCTTTGCTCATTTTGTCCTAAAAATTCATGCTGATTTTTGAAATCTTTTCTTGTATGGCTCAATCTTTCTTAGCGATAAATAAGATTTATAAAGTCGGTCTAATGTTCCTTTTATAATGTAGCTATAAAGTCACAAAGCTCTTTATCAAATTCAACATCTCATTAAGTGGGAAAGCTTAAATTTGAAAAACAAAACACCCAAGGCTTAAAGAGGCCAAACAAGCTGCTGATTGACAGAGATAAGGGAGTCAGTGGCTTTTCTTCTCCCCTCATTCGGGTTTAGTCCTGTTCTGCTTCAGGTGTGAGTGCAAGAGATAACATCATTTTTGTACTTAGATAGAAATGAGTAAACAGGCCTCAGACCCAGAGTCATTCCTTTAGCTGTTTGCAACATTCCTGCTAACTGTCATCCTGCTCTGCTTCCTACCTGTTGCAACCAGGCCAGGGAGAAAACAGGAAATGAAGCAGGTATTTCACCACCGGCAAGGGCTGATCAGAGTTGCAGGGCTAGCGCTCTCTGATCACAGTTTGAGGAGTTGCAGAGGAAAAGCAGAAGTTTGTGCCAGATAATACTAAAGAAAAGGAAAGCTGTGCTCCAACAGAAGTGGGAGGATAAGACAGTGAGGCAACTTTTGCTGCTGGGTTCCGAGCCACTAAAGAATAGACTTTCCTCCCTGAAGTCTGCAGATTTTAATGTTGTTTATTTGATAGGAGTCCCAAATCACCAAATATCTTTTTCTCTTAGCTTTTTCTTTTGATTTTAGTTGCTATCAGCTATAGTAGAAGAATATTTTGTACCTGTTTAAAATGGTATCCAGGACCTCCCTGATGGCTCAAGAGGTTAATCTCAGAATTGTCAAGCTATCACAGCTGACCCACAGGCAGCAGACCTCTCCTGACCCGCCCGCTGCTCCCCTCAGCAGTGTATTTCAGTGGATCTGCCTGTTCTGCTCTCCACTCTGTCTCTGGTGAATCCTTTCACTTTCCTCCTCCTCACACGTCTGGCCTATACCCCAAATACAAGTACAAGATTATTTTTTTAAAAGATCTTTAAAAATTTATAATAGTCTACAGTAAAGTTGGCACTGTACATATTTTTATCTCATTTTTTGAGATTTAAATAGATCAGCTGCTAAGTAAGTACTATCACCAGTAAAGCCTTATTTTAAAAATATTTTTCCCATTAAAAGAATTCATAGATGAGAAATATTTTTTATTTCTAGAGCCAAGCTGACTTCAGGTAGAACTGAATATCTATTTAGTATTACACATAAGTGAATCAGTGACTGTAGGGACAAAATAACTTCTGACAGTGCTAAAGAAATTATGTTTATGGACTATGAAGTAATTGCTTCTAAAATTAATACCAA